TCTTTTCTGCTCACCAAGGCTGCATTTATTTGATGAAAAATACAGTAAAAACAGTAGAAATTGTGAAATATTATTGAAATATATATTATTCTATGTGAATATGTGTTAAACTGTAATGTATTTCTATGATGCGCAGCTGTATTTTCAGCATCATTACTCCAGTCTGAAATCTTTTATAACATTATTAACGTATTTACTGTCACTTTTGATCAATTTAATGCATCCTTGATGAATAAAAGTATTAATTTCTTTCCAAAAAAAGAGAGACTCATTAGAATGATTTCTGTCTGTCATGAGCTCAAACTCTGATGGGATGTTTGTTTTGTTGTTGGATTCTGAAAAGTCTTTTCTGAAAGTAGATTTACACTGATGCGTTTGTCTTCTGGTGGATCATTAGTTCAGAATCTCAGCACATTCATTCCTCGGTTTACGTCAGTAATGAACACTAATATACATGAGTACAAATGTTCAATCTCTCGGCACACGAGAGCTGTAGCTGTAGAGTGTAGATCTGAGATCAGAGATCATTCACCGAGCTGAGCTCTTTCAGTCCAGTAATGTCTATAAATCAAGATCTGAGCTCATATTCTCTGTCACGTATCAGCATCAATGCTTCATGATGTTCAGCACGTTTATTCTTGTTTTACATTATTTCTATTTTGCGTCTGATTCAGGGTGCTTCTCAATAATTGCATCTGTTTTGCATCTGATTATAATATCTCTTTCGGGCAACTTTGAAAGCATATTAATGCATATTAATATTTAAGCATGAGTTTTAGTTGCTATGAGACCGTTCCTGTCCTTCTGATTCATTCAAGAATGAATCAAGTGACTGTGTTTATGAATGAATCATTGAATCATTGATTCATCTCATGATTCATCGACTGACTGGACATTAGATCTTATTATACAGATGCTTCACGAATAAATCAATAAATGGACATGAGCTAATGATGTAAGTGTGAATGATTTTATTATGCGAAACATGAAACTAACAGTGAAACGATCAGTTATTAGAGCTCAGAATGAGACCAGTGACCAATCAGAATGGAGTATTACGGTCCTGTGTGTTTCCTCTTCCTCCTGTGTGGCGTTTCTCGGTTTGAGGTTAATCAGACGGGACGCTGTGTTGACAGGCTGACGCTGTGATGTTGTGCTCCTATCAGCTACAAGAGGACACACACAGAGACAGGACTAGTGTGTGTGTGAGTGTGTGTGTGTGTGTGTGAGTGTGAGATCTCAGGCCTGAGGACGGGGGAAGTGCAGGACAAAGACGGTCTGTTTACTGCGTCTCTGTTGGCGGCTCGTTGTTCTCGTCTTTATCTTCAGTAGGAGGGTTTGGGAGACGGG